TATTTTTAATAATATATAATTAATTCATATTAAATTATTTATAAATTTTTATTCTTTATTTTATTATTATCGTAATTATAAAAATAACAGATCATTGTTATAGATTAAATTTAAAACAAAGACATATAAAATGATAAATTTAATGTATCATTTTAATGACATAAAATATCAACTTATATTATTTTAACTGAAAAAAATATAGGATTCTTCTACAGCGCTATTAAAAGTTACTGTGATATCTATTTAAATACAACAACTTAAGTAAATCACGCATAATATTTCGTTTAAGTATAAAAATCTCAATGGCAGTCTATCTGCAGATCAATCTGTGCTCGATTATAGAGATTTAAAGATATATACTAACAATATAAAATAGACTCTTCGCTATGGCTAATATCTCCACAGTTCTGATATTTCCAATTGAGAAACATTTCTCTTTGTCCTCTTTTCTTAGATTCGCTTTCAATTTGTATTACACGAACTTGTGCAACTCGTTTATGAATTTACTTTCATGGATTGAATTATATGTAATGAGTTCTCAGTATTTCACTGCGATTATACTGAAATGTGTTTCATTGATTAAGTACTGAAAATTCCTTTTATTTTTATCATAAAATACTTTTATCGTACAAAATATTTTTTTATAAAAATAATTGTGATAAATTGTTAAAATCAAAACATTCTTATTCTGTGTATATTCTAAGAAATAATTCACATCATTCTTTACCTTTTGCAACAATAGTTACATTTAATTATCAAGAACACACAAACGAAGATAATTGCATGTTTCCTCGGTAGACGAGTCTGCAAGTAGTAACCCTGTGAGTCCTATGCTATACGTCTGCACAAAATTTGTGCATACAATGTTCAAAGAAGTTGGCAAACGAATACATAATTTATTCAATTGAACTTCAATGTTAGTCTAAAACATAAACATTATATCGAATAAATTGAATAATCAAATTTAACATAAATATTGTTAATATAATAAACAGTAGACTAATACCTTAGTTTTATTGCCTTTAATAACATTATAAATCTGCGATACTGCAAGTAAACAGAATGCACAATTTGGCTTATTTTTTGTGCTAATAAAATTCTTAGGAATGTCTACCCACATATTTACTAATGATTCCGACGGGCAAATACGTATCATAGAGCAAACCTTAAATTGCAAACCTTAAATAAATTATACTTTACTGGTTCATTGTTTTAAATACAAAAATATATTACCAGATATGGATCCACATCCATAGCAAGTGTGCCTATAATTGCACCTGTATAAGTATTTACAAAATCTTGACAATCACTTTTAGAAGTAGGTACTTTTATACACACTCTTCCAAAAAATTCTTTCACTTCTTCCTTAAATTTTGGTATATTTATAAAGCTTATATAATACAATATTATATACGCAGAATCATAAAATTTAATATTTATTACCTCATTTTTATTTGTGATGTCTCCAAAATAAACAAATACTAGCAATAAATATTCGCACAATGTACATATTTTCGTTTTATTAATATTTTCGGATTGCAAAGGATAAGGCAGTATTTCAAGTGGCATCGTTTTAAGTTCCAATGTTGAATGTTTTTTGACAGAAAGTTCCTTTTTTTGAAATTCTTCCTCCATCATAATCACTTCGGGACCATCATACTCAGTGACCATTTCAGCTGTGGCTATTGAAAATTAAAGAATTGCATTCATGTGATTTTCGGTCTTATAAGTTAGCCATTATAAAAAATCTAGAGTTATAAAAGTTATTTTCAAAATAATAATCTTAATTTATCTATTAGTAATAAGGCTCATAATTTTAAAAAAACCAAAGAAAAAAGGGGCTACGAGCCAAAAATTATTATATAAAATAGAATAAACCGTTGAAATATAGAAGTTGAATAAAAATAAAAGAAACAAATACAAGTGTATATCATTAAGTAAAAATTTAATCTAATATGCTAGCAGTAAACGAACGTTTCGCTCACACTCGGATCATTTTCAATGTCACACATATATATTTATTACAGTCGGTAAAAACAAAACATAATAATCTTAATATTAACAGAACACGTTCAGCAGACAAAGCAGAGTACTTCTTCAGAACGTTTAATGATTCTTTAATATAATTAGGCCTTGCCTTTATCTTTGCTGGGTTTAAGCATAAGAATCAATTATGCAAATAAAGAATCATTGAGTTTACCGATCTGCTTCGCTGAAGGTGAATAATTTTTAATGTAGACAAAACAACATTAAAAATTTTTTAATGTTGACTTGTCTTCATTTAACAATCCGTTGTTTCATTGTTCATGTAATTTGTCGTACATGAACGAAAAATCCGTGAGCTGGTACTAAATTCAGAAAACTTTAAATACCTCATTCACAATTTTCTATTTCTGCTACAATTAGTGTATTCGTAAAAATATATCATTGACTCAATAATATAAAATTTTGAAATATCATTTTGTAAGGAATGATCTTATTCGTATTATCATTTAATAATAAGCATTATTGGCATTAGCATATTATAAGCTATTACCATTATTGTAACATCACAATATTCCGTCAACGACAATCGTACATTCTACCTAAATAAATTAAAAGTTCAAATCAACAGATCTATCCTGTTTGCAGTATTTTCAGTACATACAGTAGTTTTGCCACGAGAATAAAATCCCGCGATGTAAGAACATGGAGCGAAACAGAAAGACAGCAATAATAAAAAAGGAAAAAAAAGCTCGCGAGAAAGGAAGATTGAAAGGATTTCATAATAGAGAAGTGAAAGAAAACCGATGGAATCTAAAGTCATTATACATACTGGAAATTAAACCTTGTATCCAAATACAATTAAAAGGCTTGTAGATAAAACTAAACTTCAATTACAAATAAAAGCTAAGGTCAATAATCATAGACAATTCTGGTTTTAATTATCTTAAATAATATCTTAAGATATTACACATAGATAATACACACAATTCTGTAATGATTTATGACATCTTAAGATTATATTTAAGATAATTTTAAATATAAGAATCGACTATAAATGCCGGTCTAAATGTGGCTCGCAAATAAAATTAAACATTGCTTACAAATAAAGATTTTAAATGTCGCAATATTTACAAGGTAGAGGTACAAATATTACATGCGCGTAATTGCCAAACAAAAAAAAGTATTCTAAAAAGAAGTGCGCATCAGAGTGAGATTATCACGACGTGACAAAGGCTGCTTTGTTTTGGAAGTATGCTTTCAACGTTTAATGCATTCTATCGTTAGACATAAAAACAAAGATAGAACGCACTGTGATAGTGCTGCAATGAAAGCGCGTTTTCGAAACGCAGCCAAAAAGAAACAGAATTATAACGTAAGACAACTCAGAATATGTGTATATATACTGAAAAGTTAATAGATAATTTAAATAATATGTAGCAAAAATATATTTTTAATATAAGTAATCTATCTTTATAAGTATATTTTTCATTGCTATATTGGAATGCACTAAAAAACTTTCCTTTTTGTTTTCGGAAAGTTTAAACTATATTTCATTTTAAGTAGAAAGAATGCATATATATAAAAAAATGGTTAGATGGGGAGTAAAACGGATAGTAAAAGCGTGGCGAGATGTCAACTCACCAGCTAAAATCGCACTGAGCACAATCAAAATTTCTTTCATGCTTTTCGTCGATTTAGCAAAGACAATTTGAATCTCACGATAAATTGTGCACAATTGAATTACGACGTAATTGAGCGCGCGACGATCAAATAGCGTAAAGTCATAAACGACACTTCCAGACTAATCGACTGTTGGACCACGAATCGTTGTAACTTCAAAAATCGTTTCGGAAAACAATTCATGACTTCGGCAATAATCGGTAATATTCGTCTTTTCACGCAACTCATATGTAGTCCGACAATAAATCGACGTACACGCTCAAGTATGCGCACACTTTACTGAGCCATTGCAGCAACCACGTGTTTTCATTCCCCATATGCATCACGAAGGCTATTTTGTCCAATTTTCTAAATGTTAAGGAAGTCTTTTCAAACATTTTATGTTTGTATGAATAAAACAGTACCGATAGAATTGTATCTATGATGAACTGAAAATTTTTATGCGGCGCCATATAGTTAGTCTTTAAAAAAAAAATATATATATATAATTTTCTAGACTATCGTTATTGTGATTGAGAAAAGGAAATATTCCAGACAAAAATATCTCATGCGCAGAGAGAGAGAGAGAGAGAGAATATTTTATTAAAAAAATATAAGTCATACATTTTTAGAAATACAACTCATAAATTCGGAATCAAATATTTTATTTTTTTATTTTGCAATTATTATAATTAAAAATAACAATTATTATTGCTATAAGTTAAATATATATAGAAAAAATACAGAGAGACGGAATTCAGATTTATATATTGTTTAGATTATATAAAATACTCGATCAACATTACATTTCATAAATGTTAAAAATCATATAATAAACTAAAATATAAATGTTAAAAATTTAATATGCTTTTAAAGCTACATATAATAAATGTTATATAAAAATATTCATAAGACGTTTGTAGCGTATATTAAACGTTTTTTAAAAATTGGTTTAAAATAAACCTTTTCATATAAAACATTGACAGTTTTCTAAACATATATTTTTTATTTAATCAACATTTCTATTTAATATCAGCTAAAATAAAATAAGTTGTTATATTTCAAGCAGACAATTTATGTTTTTAAATAATATAATAATAACAAAAATTGTAATTTATTTTTTGTAATTTATGTCTTAGATTTATAATATGCTCTGTTTGCAAAGACCTAGCCGAGCACATATCTCTTTAGAATTGACACCTTCTGAGAGGAGATTTATTATAGAATCACCATATTTATTCTCAAAATAATTGCATTCCGTGGCAACTATTTGTGGAAAATAATTGCATGCACTATGTGCAACTTTCGTGATTAGCTCTCGTATGTCGTCATTTATACTAATAGGTTTATTCATAATTTGCAATACAATATTACAAATTATACAAACATCACCAGATTCAATATTAGCAGGTTGTAATGGTTGTCCAGGTACTTCACTGATTACTGAAATAATTTAAAAAATTTATTTTAAATATTAAAAATTTTTTTTTAAGTATTCAAGCATTTAAGTAAGTATAATAAAAAGTAAAAAATAAAAACCCAAATAGTGCGTGCTAACTGCACGTCTGTATAGTCTCTCGTAAATTTGCCAAGGAAGGAAGTTTTAATACAACCCATTACAATAATAAAAAATAAATTTATATTATATTAAGGATATTTTTTGTACATATTATATAATCAGATTAACTATAGCCATCAGGTACATACTGCATATATTCTAACTCTGTAAAACATCAAGTTGTATAATATAACATAACTTGTTAGTTGTAATTTCTCATTCAATAATATAATTGTAATATAATACGTATATATTATATTAGTTATATTATTGAGTAGGAAATTACAATTACAGATACGTTACATGTAACAACTTGATGTGTGTTTATTGAAAATAAGTTATTCTTATGTCAATTAATTATTATTTCTATTTACTTCTATTCACTTTTCTTATTTCTATTATTTCTATTCACTTAGCGATAATTTTTCTCTGATGCGAACATTTTTTTGAAAAATTTTTTGACTTGACAGTTAAACGAATGTAATATTTGTAATATTTATACTTTATTTTTGCAATAAATATTCCGATATTTGAAACTTTGCAAATTTAATTTGATTTGCGAGTAACATTTAGTTTAATTGCAAGTAACTTTTAAATTTATTAAACATATTATATTTTATTTTGAGTACAAAGAATATATATGTGAAAATTATTAGAGAGAAAAAGCAGATATGAAAACGACGACAAGATGTCAACTCACCAGCTAGAATCGCTCCGAACATGATCAAAATTTCCTTCATGCTTTGTCTCATAATTTCAAAGATAACGTAGTGAAGATATATTTGTATTTTAAATACAAATAGTGCGTAATTAGATTATACCGAGTGGTTGATGATCAAAAAGCATGAGTCGTGTATGGCACTTCTAGACTAAATGACATTGACTGCTGAATAACGAATTGTTATAACTTCAAAAACTATTTTTCAATTCATACGTAATCCAACAATAAATTCATCGACAATAACATCAAGCGTGCACAGATATTGCTCTTGCGGCAACCACGCGTTTATTTCCCGTGCGCATCACGCAAACTTTGTCCAATTTTCTGCATGATCCCAAGAGAGAACAAACATCTCTATGAATAAAACAATATAAAATATAATAAAACAATATAAATATATTATATATTTGTATTATGCTTATTTTTCAATTTTAAATAGCTTACGAATTATTATCTTATCTTAATTTATATTTTAACATATGACTTTCACCTTTTAAATACATATATATGTACTGACTTATTATTTGTGTATTTGTCCTTGATATATAATTTTTAGAATCAATGGCAGTCTTACTTTTGTCTTGTAATGACTAACTTGATATTATATATTGATTATTGATTCTTATTTAAAATAATCTATACGACTTGAATCTTTATTCTCCTTCGTGCAGTTACTTTCGTCCGAACAAAATTTCGTGCGTCGCGTACGCCGATAAATATACATATTCTCACTGGCTGTTATTGTCATTTTGTTATTTAAACATATACTAGAAGATTGAAAGTAAATTGCGATGGAAAACCATCTTATTACAGTATAATCATGTAAATAGTGTGTGTATAATACACACATGCGCACGCACGCACACACTCTAAGGCTATAGCTAAATAATATAGCAAGTTTCTACATATAATGAATCTTTAAGTTCATTTTATTTTTTATTGTTGCATTAAATAGCACAAAAACTTTCCTTCTTGTTATGTAAGTTTGGTATATAGATATATCTTTCATTTTAAATGCAACGAATATGAGAAAATTGTCGGAGAGGAAAAGCGCGGCGAAATACCAGCTAGAATCGCATTAAGTGTGAATAAAATTTTCATCATACTTTATCTCGTCATTTAAAAATAAATGAAGAAGACAATTTATATTCCAAATACAAATT